ACGCTTATACCTGCGCATAATGGATGCCAAGTTACTTCCATACAGATTGGTTTTTTGCCATTTTGTGTGATCCCCAGGGGATCCTCTGAAAATCAGCTCTCTTTTCGAAGTGATTTATATTTCTGAAAAGTCAATGAAAAAGCTGTAAAATTGTACTGGGGATATACTACGGCACTGCTAAGCATATTTTCAACAGAAGAAAATGAATCTGAAGATTGTGAATTTTTCAATGATTCTTAACTCGCGAGCTAGGGATTATCAAAGATTTCGATTCCCTGGGGATCCCCAGGGGATCACACAAAGTAATGAAAATCTAATCATTCACGCCATCCATTATGCGCAGGTATAAGGGTATGAGAACCCTCATAAGCAAGATAGAAAAGGAAGAAGAAAGATACGTAGAGTCGAGATATGACACATCCCCTCTCAGATCCCCTTCCCTTCCCAGCGGAAAAGTACCTGCAAACGGGCCTTGAGCCTTTGGCCTTAGTAAACCGAGAAAAAATGAAATAAACCGAACATCTCGGAAAACTTGTCATAGAGGTTATCTGATCTGTCGATTACGAAAATCACATTCGCTCAGCAAAAGAGCTTCATATTTTAGGGTTATGGTGAGTAAAATTTGGAACGACATAATTTTTCCTTAATTCACCAACGCTTCTATCTCTTTTGGAAGATAGTCTGCAGCTACTTTGTAGCGCCCGATAACCTGCAAGAACACAAACGCGGCATTACATCCTTGCGAAAGGATCTCCACAAAAGAATACAAGAAAACTGGAAACGGAATATCAAGGGCATGCTGAACATAAAAAGGTTTGTCTTGATGAGCTAAACACAATGCTGTTTCCGGAGTCAGAATAAATTTATTCCGAGGAAAGTTATGGCGTTGCGTATTCTGCGTGGTCCCGGATTTCGCGGATCCTGGAATGTGACGGGATAACGCGGACTTTCGCGGAATCCCGGAATTCGCGAAGTTTACGAAAATCTTGCACATTCTGTGAGCGGCTTTGTACCTTGAACTGATTTTAAAACAAATTCGATTAAAGTACTCTCTACCATACTCCTACATTATACCTACTATTAGCAATGGCAATACTGTTGTCAGCATACTGAACAATCCAACCAAAAAAATCTGCAAAAATTGAGGGAAACCTATCTACCGTATACTTATCAAACTAAGATAGATTGCGACACTTCTATAGACTAGATGGTGCGTCTAACCAAGCTGAATCGAAAGGTGTTCTCGGATTCAGAATTCGTCCATTTTGAAGCGAGATATGGCGATGCGACGAGGATTCCGACGGACTCTAATGATGTGCGGCGCGCTCCACTACTCTGCGGCAAACTTTAGTGGAGTGCGGCGCACTCTGCTGCACTCCGGCGCACTGCAGTGCACTTCGGCACTTTTTTGATGATTTATGAGTAATAGTGTATTACTCGTTACCAGTAAATCCCTCAACCTTACTGAAATCCTTTACGAACTGGACAAAGACTTTCTATATAACTCGCTCTTATGCAATAACTCTAGAATCTGCCGCGAACTTAGCGCAAGCAAGCCGGAGCAAATCGATTTGCGCAGTTGTTAACTTCTCACAAATGTTTGGCTTTTGATACGTTGTTAGATTTGACAGGAGACGTGCAATTGAAGACTTGAAATAAAATTTGTCTGTAGCGAGCATGATTTTTCGGAATCTGAATCTGCAAAACTTATTCGAGCTTACAGCTAATGCTCATTATACTCAGGCACTTTTTCCGACGGCCCGCGCGCCTTGAGCGTGCGAGCGCTCATGCCTCCAGCCCCCGTAGAATGAAGGTACGCGGCTCGCTCGTTGAAGGCGCGCCGCTCGCCCGCTCCTTTGAAAGCGTTTAACGGCCCTAGATACAGATAGCAATCCGATGTTAAAATTCATATTTTCTCAGTAAAATACGACCTCATAGTGTTATATTTATTGTCAAACATGAATACAGATATGATGAAGGCAGATTTATTATCCAAACACTTACAAAAACGACATAACACATAATCAAGATCAAAAGAAAACAGACAACAACTAGAATACCATCAATACCTCTTACGCTTAGGACTCTTTGAAAACACGTAAAGCACAGCAGCCATGCTAATACTGAGAAAGCACTGTTAGGCACCGGTAAGAATGACCTGTCTGAACACAGAAAAACCCCCGCGAACCTGATAGAATAATGACTAGTGCCTGATTAGGCAGTACACGTTACCTGGAAAAACAAAGTCTAAGAAACATAACAGAAAGGAAAAAAGCAAAAGCTATAAACCTTGTGGAAGTTCTAATTCCATCTGGATATCGAGGGAGCCCCTTCGTCTTTGACAACATTTTCCACAAAAACACTCTATCTACTGAAAAAGAAACTACTAGAGGTAATAAAACCAGATAACAAACATACCCAGTAAGACATTTATTTATTTATTTATTTATTTATTGCACCAAAAGTGCGCCATCGACTGGTCAAAAAGTCTAGGCAATAGTCATCAGGAAGAAAAAGAACTCAGATAAAATCATCATTAAAAAAATGTTCTCAATTTTGATACTACCAAACTAAATGAATAGGAATTATAGCATCCAAATTTGACCACTATATTGCCTGTTCAAAACATTAACATGGATAGTGAATAGAACGTGAGGTTGGACTAACGGTATCAAAGGTAGTTACTTTCACATTCTCTATTTAAGTGACCAGATTTGATGTAAAAGGGTGGGACCATGGTGGAAAAATAGGTCTAGGCTTCCCATACTTTGTGGTCCTCCAGATTTACGCTTGAGGCTGACCGCGGCCCGATAAATCTTTCAAAATATTGTAATATCAAGAAAAAACAAGCAAGCAACTCTAGTGATGGCACCAAAAAAACCACTTCGCACGAAAACGTCTCCCTGCATAGTTACGGTAAGGATCGAAATCACAAATCGGCAAATGTATCTTTTCCCTGTGCTTTGCTTAGGCAAAAGCCGCAGCAGGGTGTGTAGCGCATGGCGGTGGTCGTGTGTGCAAAGCTTCACGATCGTCCGAATCGCCGTACACCCGTTTCAGGCAGAACTACGTTTTACTCTTTACCGTGTAGCTACCGTAATCCTAGAAAACGACGCTACGGTTCAAAACCAATGTGATATTCAGCATCAGCGGGCCGAGTAACCCCTCTGGGCCAAGTTTCAGACAAATCTATGATTTTGACCCCCTACCGTATACCTACCGTAACCCTGCAGGGTGGCGTTTTCCTGCGGAGAAAAGGTGATATTCGTGATTGGCACGTCAGATGACCCCTCTGGGCCAAGTATGAGCGAAATCCATGACGAAAATTTTGGGGCCCGGATAGCCGGATAGCGGACGCAATACGGACGCTAAGATGCTACAAAATAGGGAGCACATGGATGACAATGACTGTATAAATGTGAACCAGAAAAAACTTATAAAGAATGGAGACGATTAGTCGGCAAAACGGGCAAGCAACCAACGATGCGATAACAAATGCAACCTCCTACGGCTAACAACGAATTGAAAATGATGCTTAAGCGTTTTGTAAAGTTACATGCTCGTTGTTCTTACATATTTGTTTGGCGCGCCGCTCGCCCGGTCACTCAAGATGGCGCGCCGCCCATCGAAGGCAAGGCGCGCCGCTCGCGCCGCCCGTCGAAAACGATGCCACTCCCACACAAATCTAGGCGCGCCGCTCGCACGGTAGGCTCATGAAAGCGCGCAGACCGTCGGAAAATCTGAGTAGTTTACAGCTAATGCTCACTATATATCTGTGAATGATGTTTTGTTTGAATTTTTAGTTTCAACTCCTTTTGATGATACCAAACGAATTGCATAGAGTCTAATGGACTTACTCGTTGACAGAATTGTCGTAAATCAACTCGATCCGAATCCAATCTCAAGTTGAACTTCTCTTTGATCTGATGTCTTCAACCAAACCATAAGATGCGTTGCTAGGATCTAGTGACGAAACACCTTTTCGTTGCTCACAAGGAGAGGATACTTAGTCGAAAGCATCAATCCAGATAAAACATATATCATCTTGAAGTGCTTGAAACGCTGATTCCAAATCTGTAGTTTCTAGCGGCGGAGCGGTTTTGTAGGAGGAGTTATGAGGGGTGTCTCCCTCTGGGGCTAAGGCCCCTCCAGCACATCTGCTCCTATCTATGAGCACTGTAGAGGAGTACCAACTGATCTAGTGGCAAGTGACTTGCTTGGTAAGAAGAGTGTCAAGGTTCTAATCCCCTTCGCATGCAACTTTATCGCATTTTTTGCAAAATTGGGCTCCTAAATGGCTTTGGAGCCCTAAAGCTCAAAATTTCTTATGATATTGATGCTAATCGAAGTTAGAAGTGCTGAAAAAATCAAAGTAATACGAATATTGTAATATTTATTGTAATCTACATTCAGATGTCTTACCACGGCCAGTTGCCAACATTTGGTACTCCTCTACAGTGCTCATAGATAGGGGGAGACCTGCTGGAGAGGCCTCAGCCCCAGAGGGAGACATCCCTCATAACTCCTTCTACAAAACCGCTTCGCTGCTAGAAACTGCAGATTTGGAATTAGCGTTTCAAGTACTTTAAGATGCTATATGTCTCACCTGGATTGGTGCTTTCGACTAAGTATCCTCTCCTTGTCAGAACCTGGTGCGAATTATGCTCGACATACCAAATGGCTGCAAGCGGATATGAGCGGAATCACTAGCTTAAGCAATTCAAACGGGTATGCATTTGGAATGACCGCATGAATGAGAACAAATGAGAAGAGATAACCCTACTCGTCTTATGAATACAAAGGAATGGTTTTCTTGATATGCGTCAATTATCACTAAAAATACAGTGACTCTCGGTAAAGGGGAATTGCCCATTGCGCATTCGTAACCGTACTCGCTGACAAGGGCTTCGCATTCTGCGCATCTTGCTTATTGATGCCCGACGGACAGCCGATTCTCAGCCCGTTCGTTAGCGCACTATCGGTAACCGTCCTGCGTGCCATTACCGTACCAATCCCACCGCTACCGGCTTTCCCATCACTGCGATGGCCTGGATCTTTACCATTCAATCATGTGCAATATCACTCCAAACGACTGTAGAGCAAACGCTCTACTTCTACCACGTGCTATCGGTTGCGAAGCGAAGAATCGTTCTATTCTACAGCAATCAGTTTGATAGATCGTGCTTGCTTCATGTTTATGTGATCGAATACAATCTTCTCAAGAAGAAAATCGTAAATATCCACACATATACTGCTCGGACGTACAATTTTACTGTTGGAACATTAATAGATTAAGCTTTAGCATAGACATTCTGCAGCCGCATTGGCACTGATTTGTTAATTCAGAATCTCGACTTCTATTTTTTGCCTTATCCAGGACTTTTCATGGCGCTGATTTCAACTATGGCACTCAAAATGCGTGATTCTTCAAAGAACCCCATTTTTGAAACAACTTTGTGAGAACCGTGGAGGAGTGCTCCTAATGCTATCCTTGTCGAAAGTAAGCATTAACAGATAGACACTATGTGTTCGGTTGCGCTTGCAACGTAAAAGCACGCCGAAGACTGAAAAGAGTTCGTCCAAGGGGGCGGGCCTTGCGAGGAAGTGGGCGTGGTATTTGAGGTTTTCTGCTCCAATTTTCTCCTATTACAATAATTCAAAAGTCCGATTTGCGCAATAGTTTTAGATCGAGACCTCAGTACTCGACTATAATACTATCCGAAAATAAAATCTGCACGGATGCTGCCTATAAGGCCTCGGGCAGAGTCACGCGATTTGATCGTCGCGATTCAATCGCTACAAGACAAGTGGAGTTCATTGCATGCTGATCTTCCTGCATTTCGGTTGTGATAGTTTTCCAATATGACTAATCATGACTGACTATCACAAACGAAAGACAAGAACATCGGCACGCAATGAACTCGTAACACTTGTCTTGTAGCGATTGAATCGCGACGATCAAATCGCGTGAACTTGGTCCGAGGCCTAATGGGACGGAGGGCCGCGAATGTTGCTTGAGATTTCGCGATCATCATTAACCTCTTATAACCTTTTATATGCGTTCTGAACTCGCAAATATGTTTCTCTTAGAAGGCAACAGAGTAGGCAGAGTTTGCCAAAAGAGGGGCGGGCCAACTCAAAAACTTCTGAGCCTTTATTAATTAGTTGAACAGAAATTAGAGTCTCTGGTTACATTAGAATTGAGATTTGTTTAGCCGTGCACTACTGCAATGCCTACAATGTGTGGAGATATAAATTCAATTTTCGTGATCACGTGCCAATAAGATCCGTGCACTATAGTATATCTACTACTTGCTCCCGCACAGTTCCAGCACAGTGCGAGAACTGTGCGGGAACAGTTCCAGAACATGGTAATCAGTATGAACCCAGCCTTTGCGAGGCACATAGGATTGGTCGAGCTGTACGGAAGTTGCAGTCTTCCATTCATGAAATTAAAGCCTTTTATGATATAGATACTGCGTGTACTCAGAAACTTTATTTCCGGTAATTATCGTAAAATTATAAAGAGAATTGTGACTCTGTAATAAGTTTACGATGCCGATCAAGTGCTGGGCTATCACTTACTACTAACAGAGCAATGTCAGCCTCGCCTTTTACTCCCAACACTTGATCGCTATAAAGAAAATAACAGTAACACTATGATGCTGAAAAAGATGGTTAAGCCTGGTGAATTTTTTCTATAGTCTCCGATTTTTCCATTAGGTTCCTTGTCAGATGCATATTTTATGGTTATGCCTGTTGAAATCTTCCTATAGTCTCCGATTTTTCCATTATGTTCTTTGTCAGATGCATATTTCATGGTTATGCCTGTTGAAATCTTTCTATAGTCTCCGGTTTTTTCATTATGTTTTTTGTTAGATGCATATTTTTCATCGCAAATGTCTTTAGAAGGTGGACAAATTATCTTTGTAGTCACATTACCAAGCTTCGGGATACGCTGAATGGCAAGAATCCGAAAGATGTAACTGAGTTTATATATTAAAAAAACGTTTACCTTTCCTACATGTATAAGTTGGCCAGCATAGTGACAAGGATAGAATTTAGAACTTTGTATTTTTACATATAAACGGTCGTCTTTGCAAGCAGTCTAAAAATGTCGACTGTCGACTTCTTTTTCGCAAAAGATCAAATTCTTGGAAGCAATGAATCTCACCTCATAGCAACCAACTTTATGATGGTAAGTGGTTATCGTTGATTTTTTGCTGACCTCGATTCCTCCATCAAGCGAAAAACAGCGAGCAGAAGGAGAAAAGATCTAAATATACATTTCAAATGTATACATATATATACATATTAAAAAATTGTACTATTACCGTAGATACACACTAGATCCAATACTTAAAGTTCAATTTTCTTTCAACTTGTTTCATTTAACTTTGCCACGACTATTAAACACTGTACCTAGCCCCCGAAAAACGTCCCACTGCTTAACTAAGAACAACTCTTTCGCCACAATGCTCTCACGGTCTTGACTTCCTAAGAACAGATTTTAACTTCTAATTTTGAGATTCGCGATTAAGGCAAATTCAATTCGCTTCCCGTTAAGTCCTTCTTCACGAATTTCAGTCGTCACACAGTTTATAAGCATTTCAGTTGTTTATAACTTACCGTGAGCGCATGCTGAATGTACGGAAGATAGGGCAATTTATCAATTTGCGCAAGTCAGACGCGCTATATATTTGCGAACTGCCTGTGTCAAAACTGAAGACATCTGACAAGTTGCCAGATCGATGCTGATTGATATTGCATGAAGTATACCCGCAGCATTAGAATTACGGTAGGAATTTCAAGCATTTTCTATGTATTAGTTGTTGCAAAAATAATGTCCGTTTTGCAAATTTTCACTTTGGAGGGCTATAACTTCCTTCAGTCTTCATAATTTTGAATGCTGTTAAGACCAACAGAAACAACAAACCTTTCTTAATTTAGCGCACACCTGCTCATGCTGATATCGCAAACGGGAAAAAACCATGCTTCAAAAAACTGAAACTTTTTCTTTTAAAAATCTCGTCTTTAAGAGCTTACAGCTCGCTTCAAGTTCTGTTCGTATGGCTGGCAATCAGCTTATCTTGTAGCCGCAGGCCATGAGTTTACGTATATATAGAAAAGACTCCAAAGAAGGAGTTCTGCGAAAACAAAAAATAAATATTCAAAAATGTTCACTTTTTTGAGCCTATTGTTGTAGGCTTGTGAGTGCCAAATTATGAAAATTTGGAATTCTTCGCGCACTGAATAGCTAAGTTTCTCTTTTGATATTGTAGTTAAGGTGTGCTTATCTCAAGCTTACAGAAATGGGCGAAGCTTTTGCGATTGCCTCAATTATGAGAAATTTCTGATCCACAGAATGCCAGCAGCGAGTATCTATTTCAAGGCGTCAATTTCTCAGTCCAGATATCTCCAAAAATCTACGTAAGCACGCAGTAGGTACATGATCTTCATCTAATACAACTGCTGTGTTTTCAGAAGAATTCGTTTATTTGCTCCTGAAATGTGGCCAAGAAACTGAGAGCTATGAGATTCCGATTTTGAGTGCGAATGTGTAAAATGCTGATGAAATTCTCAGATGGGGATAGCAACTCAATTCCACCACCGTTAGAAAGTACATGATGAGAGCTTTCTAATAATATGCAAATTCTATATCGAAAAAGAAAGTTTGATGGAGAAAAGTTGTTTGGAATATAGGCCTAGAAAAACGGACATTATTTTTGCAACAACCTAATATTAGGTTGTTGCAAGAATAATGTTTTGTTCTGTATCTTTTTTTGCCTTATGTTTAAAGCAGCTGTTCTAAGAAATCTCATATCTAATGCGATAACCATTAAAAGTGCTTTTCTTGTTCTTTCTAACGCATATCAGTATCAGCAAATTCCTTAGTGTAAGGGGATTTCAGACTCAAAAACTCTAAGCAGCCGATATACGTTCTCACCCTAGAAATATGTTTTTGCGAGGAATCTTCACAATGCGCCGTTCAAGTCAAGTCCTTTTATTCGTTGCTGAATAAGGGTATAACAGGCTAGTATACGCACAAGCTCAATTGCATAAAAAAAGCATCTTGCTAGTAAAGTTGTCGTTAATTTTCTGTATGAATGTTCTACGAGCAATAACTTTCTGCGAACACAAGCAATCAACGAGCCCAAATTTGGAGATGCTAGGGTAAAGCAAAAGCTAGTAAAATCCATCCACCAATTCCTTTTCGGCGCTCATGTCATTTGTAAAATTTTCATAATTCGTAAGTAAGCATGCACACATGTGCTGAAGCTCAAAAAGTGGCTTCTTTTTTTTCTCGGTCAAAAAAATCTCTCGGCAACGCATTCCTTAGGGCTCTTTTTTGTTCAAAATAATCCACAAAAATTTCTCTACCTATCCATTGTTGAATAAGAAGCCTATCGATTCTCATAGGGGAGCACTGTCATTCCAAAAAAACAGGTTTGAAGACAAACGCTGTAAAGTTTTTGAGTTCTTGCTTTTCCTTTGACAAGGATTTCCGCAATTCTCAATATGCGTCTGAAAGCCAAGGAACTGCTCAACACATAGAAACTAAGATCTTGGAGAAAAGTTGACTTTGGAAGAAGTTATGACAATTTGAATTTGAAAAATCCAAATCAAAAACTTATGCAGCAGCCTAATACAATGGCAGCAGCCGTCTCCAAGATACCATCAAAGTTTGTGGAGCAGCAATTTTTCGGCTGCTTTCACGATTAAACCTTTTGGAACGTTTTCAATCGAGGTGGTCACTTTTACTTGAAAAAAACCTTTGAGACATCATGGTAGTTTCATGTGAAGTTCATTCAATTCCAGCTGAAGACCGCAAAAAGCCTAGTAAGAGTATCTAATTGATCAAAACTCTTTTTGAGGCCTGGAGCATAGTTCACGCAAATTCATCGCCTCGCGATTCTGCTGACAAGACAACTATTACGAGTCCATTGCATGCCGATCACCTTGCATTTTGGTTGTGATAGTTAGTCACGATTACTCATGTCAGAAAACTGTCATAACCTAAATGTATGAGGATCGGCATGCAATGAAGTCGTAAGGCTTCGAATATATATCGCGCGATTTCTCCAAAAATGCGGCGATACACGATTTGGCAATTTTTCCAATCCGCAATACCACGTGCGGAATAAGTGCCTAGGCGCATAGCTTTTGTAAGCTTAAGCGTACGTGCCAAATCTTGCTTACAGATTGTGCACCTACGAAAGAAAATGAGCAATCGTAGAAGTTAGAAATCGCGTGGCGACGAGGTATGACCGATATCTAACAGATGTTTTATCGGGAGAATCACGAGGCGATGAAATCGCGTGAACTATGCTCGAGGCCTAAGGATTATGGCCCTCAATGCCCAAGACCCTTCTGAAGGTTGCTGTAGTCATACTACAGTGACGATGATTCATCGTCGACTCGATATCTGAATCTAACAAGATGCAACTAGCTCTTCAGTACGATAATTAGGAAGTCGCTAAAGACGTTAAGGCAAAAGTTATTCGATCTTGAACATTGAGTGAGAATATTTGGGAAAATTCATTTTTTAGGAATGAACTTATATTTTTGTTGGTAAGACTCACTTCTAGTGAATAATTGTTATAGTACATATTTCCCGCATAAGTGCAACGAGAGTCTGTTGCTTCTTTCTCTACTTCAGCGAAGACCTGAAGACCAAGAGAGCGTATATGAAGTACCTCAGCATATCGCAGGAGTAATCTTGGTTGTTTTCCATCTCAGACAGTCGAAGGGATACCTCCGGAGGGCAGATGGCGGAGGTCTGCCACTTCGCGCTTCACCGTGTGTCACCGCGACGTCACAAGCAGGCGAATGGGACCCCTCTCCGGGACGCGCAAATCTCTGCTCCGGAGGTGCGCCAGGTTTGGGAGAGCCCCAGAGCACCATTTGGGTGAAATGGGAGGGCTCCGGAGCGCAAAGTGGCAGACTCCCGCCATTTGCTGTCCGAAGGTATCCCTTCGACTGTCTGAGATCGTAATCATACGGTCCTTTATAGTCCCTACTTACTCGATAATAGGGACAGTAATCAGCAATTTCTTCTCGACCAATTGCGACTATACTTCCACCCTTATCATCAGTATAAAGGCTTGGGATGTTGTAGTTATAATCAATCGGTATTTTGGCAAATTCTGGCGACACCAAGTTACAGATTACTTTAGATTTACGATCCTCGCTACATCTGAAATATCAACCGTCTAAATGCTTTCATGATGCTCTGTATGTAGAGAACACCACCTCACATCAAATTGTTGTGTACAGAACGGGTATGGATCTTGCCGGCTTCTCATCCATGTTAAACAGCTTTTCTTTGCAAAAACACAACCAAGACCTTTGCCCCATGACATGTCTTCGGCTTTGCTGTGAAGCAAAAAATCATTCTCTTCAATCCATGTGCGAAATCGTGTATTAAAAACGCTAGGGAACTTTTTTAGGATTAGATCTACTTTGGAACAATTCGAAAATTGTCCTGCCTGTGCTGTAGTAATGTTTTATCGACTAATGCATTCTAGTCTGTAGGGCAAGAAAACTAATCATTGTCCTCTTTTCTAATCGTATCTCTCCAGTTTGTTTCCCCTACAGCCCAATTTTTCGTCAGCTTCGCACGACAGCATACAAGGGGGGGGGAGAATTAGATTTTCACACAACTAGCATATATATGAATTTTCACGAGCAATTTAAATCCTTCTAAAAGCCACTACAAAAAGTTATTGATTTGTTGCTTGACCTATCACATTCTAATTAATTAAACAATATCTTTTACTTACTCGTAGTCCACTTGATACCAACCAGAATCCTCAAAAAGTGCCAAAGTCACACGTGAAACTGCATATACCTGTGTTGTGACAGCTGACATTGCCTCGTTCTAAAATGCGCACATTTTACAAAGTAAGGAACTTTTCATTCACCTCAAAAACTCTTTTCTCCCAGTGTGAAGCTCTCATGCCGCTATCGCCCTGATTTTCCACTTCAGCCCCTTCAAGCGTAGGACAGCCAAAATGATTTCGTGCTTCTTGTCGGACTTTCGGAGTTACAATCATGTAGACGTCATGATTGACCTATAAATTGATATTATGGTAAGTGTTACATTCCACTTTATGCAACTTTGCTTTGCGAAAAATTTATGACAGCTTTATAAAGATACAGTCTAAGTTAATAACAGTACTCACAGTCCCTCGAGCAACTTCCCAATCAGTTCTGATAAACTTTTCTATCACCCCTGGCACAATTGAAATTGGTGTTCTCCTTAGCAAAAGTACTTCTCGATTACTGATTCTGATTGCTCAACTTGAGAACTAACTGTACTTCAGGCTTTGCACCAATAAAATTTTTATAGTGTGATGTGGAAAAAACGAAAGCATGTATAAGTTCGTGCTTCATAAGGGACAACCATTTTGACATTTCGTTTTTTTGCATGGCCTCAAACGCTTCAGGACAAACGTTTACATATCCAGATATTGGCCTGAGCAGAGACCCGTCAATGCTTTTCTCGTTGTCCTTTTTACCCCTTACCTGTGGGTAACGGGATGTAGACTGCATCGGCCGGCATATGCAAGCGTCTCGTTTGCGCAGGTGCCATGTCTTATAGCCACGAAAAGAACGAAGTCTATATGTGCAATGGTTCCTGGAACAAACTTTTAAGCACAAAAAATTCCTCTATTTTTCCTTTGATTTAGATAGTAACTTCTTCGTACCTATGTAATCGTCAAAATCAGACGAACAATTTCCATGACGGCAACTGCATGGCTGAAAGTTTGAAATTGTAACGAATTTTGTTTTTTGCTTATTAATTATCTCACTTACCGTAAATATAGCTGTACCCTTAGGCGCTGTTGCCGTCCCACAAGTAGGCTTGCAATACTTTTCGCATATGATTGTTACTTCTCCATTCTTATCCCTTTCCCACATTTGCCCGGCGCATTGTCTGTAATAGGAATATGAAGTTTGTAGTAACTACTTGGAAAAGTTAAAAGAGGAAATCAAAAGTAGTTAAATGAGGGGCGAATGTAAACAACAGCAAACTTTTTGGTTGCATTTTCTCTGCTACGCCCAGCAGAGAAGACAACTTTAAGAAAAAAGTGCTTTTCTCCTAGCCAAACTTGCTGTCATGTTTCTTATATATGAATTCGATGCAGTAACGTCCTTTGTGGAAAAAAAAGATCAAAAAGAATAATTTCTTGAGAGCTGTTTTTTCCCTGCATATATTCTCCAATTGACTTAGATTACCATACGAAAAGCTGAAGTATTGTCGAACCATAGAATGAATCAGTCAAATATTTTGCAATTTCTCCCTCTTTTCCATTGATTATTTTCTTACAGGGTCGTCAATAATGAGCAATAGTGTTGGAGAATAGCTATGTGTTCTTAATAGTTGTGTTGTAATTGACTTGTGATCTCTAAAGATTTGTTGATGTTGTATTGACACATGCGCGGGAAACGAGCGCTAGGTAGGACGTTCATTTTTAGATTATATTCGTCTTGCAGTTGTCAGTTCTTATTCGTTTCCAGCAACAAGTAAAGCTATTTCTTAAAGCGTCCGGGACCATCACGCGGTACATGTACAAGTACAAAAAGTAGAAACGAAGGTCACAACAAGTGGCGATCAGGACTGGACGACACGAATGGATTAAATAAGATTGTTAATTCAGACAAGCCAAACAAGGGCATCCCGGGGCACCCTTTAAGCAAATGCTCGCTCAGCTGATGCAGCTTATCGCTGCACTTATTCATGCGAACCAGGAGCAGTTCGCTGCACTCCTGGCCAACCGAGAGCAATCCGTGGATAGAAACTCCTAAAACGGATGGACCGTTCAGTAGTTCCTACGACGGACTACTCAACACTTTCGTCGCTACTGCCGGGCTTCCTGATAGCAACGGGCGCACCTTCTTGAGCTGGATGCCGCGGTTTGACAAAATAGTTTTAGCATCGATGCCGAGACTGCCGAGACTGCACCACGATTTTGTCTGCGAAACTGGATAACATAACACCGCACACACGAAGCTGAGAGGGCATCTGGCACAGCCACCGCTAGAGATTTTATTTGAGGAGCTAATAAAAGTGCTGTCGCTTTTTGGTGAGAGGGCGACGCTGTTTCGACAGCGTTGGAACTGCCTCCACACCGTGGGTACCCTCAGAAGACGTCGGATTGTACGCTGCTCGACTCAGCAAGATGTTGGTCGATGTCTGCGACTTACCTTTCATTTCGTCAAAGCAGCCGAAATGAAAGGTTAGTAGCAGAAATGCCTACTTCTTATTTGCCGTTTCCGTGCGGTTCGCCATTTCGTGCCCGACTCTCGAGTGGATGGACACCGAGGCCGATATCTAGAAGCTCTAGGACTTATCAGTCCGTCAGGATGCTGCCCTCACTGGATCTGCAACCGCGCCATCCAAGCTAAGTCCTATCCGGAAAAAGAAACACATCGAACACGCCGCACGTACGCAACGTACCAGGCACCCGTCTCTAGCAATGATCCGCTTGGAGTTCCCGCCGTAACGACGTGCGCTACATTGTGGAAAAAGAAACTGAGCCAGCAACTTCCGGTCAAGGAACCGACCAATCCGCCGAGATTGTGAAGCTGAACGAGCTGAACTTCCACCGTCGCTAACTTAATTCAAGCTGGAAGATTTGGATGTGAAGATGCAACACGACATCGATGACGACGTATCGACCATTAGCCGCGGGACGTAAATGAAATTAAGATAACCAATCTCGAAGGCCTCGCCTGCCTAATTGAAAGCTGCAAATCGATCGGTGATCAAAGAATTTATAGTTCACCAGTGCTTCACCTCTGCTTCGCAGAGGCTCGCACTGGCTCTATCTAGGCCTTACTCATTCTCGCATAATGATGGCATTGGAACTCACCGAGCAATGCCGACTATCACAAACAAAATGTAAACAACTACTCATTCCGAAAGCTTTTTATGTGAAATCGGTGATTTCGCATGGATGAGAATTTTTGCAGGAGAACAAACGCAAATTTTTACAGGTTTTTGATTTTCTCATGGTCTTGACAGTTGCAATAAGAACAGCAGTCACCGTGAGCTAGATCTTTGTGCAAAAATCTCGTCAAATGCTATGGTAAAACCTTGGCAAATTGACCATTTATGCAGCCAATACTTTTTGGCGCCGTTTTTCTAAAGTAGTGGACTTTTGATCACTTTTTTGAGTCTAAGTTCATGGCTTGCGTTTTTACTTGGCATAAACATCCACTAATTTGCAAAAAGTGGAATTACGGACCCAATTATGCTGCCCAAATGCAAAGTGGATCCGTTTGATGCGCAGTTTCTGAGTAATCCACTCAACGAATCTGCTCGTGCTTTTGCATGTTAGACTTTCATGCGGGTAGCATGCGCTGTGCAAAATTTGACCCCAGGAGGTTGGCTGGAACACTCTCTACGAATTTCGTAACAGACACACTCTCACACACACAGACAGACACACAAAGTCACGTAAACATCCTTGGCCCGTTATTATAAGTTATGATAAGAGCCGTTCACAAGCAATGGTCTCGATTGCCAAGGATTATTTTACGTGACTAAGGGCCTCCGTTTGCTAAGAATGGAAATGCTTCAACAGCTGCCGCCCTTCCGAAATCCCTCTCTGCTATATGCTGTGCCGTGGATGCCAATCTTGAAGGCCTCGCCTGCCGAAGCCTTTTCGTCGTTGAACAATCGCACGAGACAAAGTTCTCAGAGTTTCTCAAAAAAGAGCTAAAACGCATTAACAAGTTCAGAGCTCATCTTAGGCCTAAGGCATACCTCACGCGATTTCAATCGCTGCGCGATCTGGCTCTACAACAACTCTTCATAATTATTCGTAAACGCACTTTGCCTGAGCCAGATTTGTTACTTTTGCGAGAGCTTAGTGAAGCTATGCGCCTATGCATTTGACACTAGCGCACGATTAATCTGTAGACATCTGGCAAAACGCCAAGTTGCGTGGATGTAGCGATTTCACGGAATCGCAGGAAGTATGCCTTTGGTGTTATGGTGAAAAAGGATGCGACCCGGTGTAAGTGCTGAAGTTGAAGCTACCGTTTGCCGTAGATATCTACCGCACTGAAGTGCTGCCATCCGTCGACTATTTAAGTAAGCCGCTCCCATTGTTCCCGTAAAAAAGAATGGAGTAGTGCATCTGTGCTTCTCCACTGGACTGAACGATGCATTGGAGCTAAACCGACACCTACTGTCAACCTGGACGTCGAGAAAAAGGCATTACTAACCATCAACCGGACTCTTCCGCCAAAATTGCTTACCGTTAGGTGTGTCGTGCCCTAGGTACCCGTACCTTCCTGTCTCTGACGACCAACGTCATCACCGACATTAATGGAGCTATTACCCGTGTGGACGACCATAAGAACACGATGCGAACATCTTCGAATTATTTCGACGCCTTCAGGACCATGAAATGCGTGTTGTTTGGAGCAAAAATAATGCCATTTTGCTATTCTTCTCGGATTCATCGTCGACGCGGAAGCAAGACGACCCGACGAAAGAATTGTCGCTATCGCCCATATGCCGCCGCTTGAGAAGTGAAGAATCTCGCCTTGGAATGGTTTCGTTTTGCTCGTTTTGTGTGCCAGGGAAGCGTTCACAGTTGGACGCTTTGAAGAAGAAAGCCACTCAGTTTGTCTGGAGTAAAGAGTTCCAGAAAGCCTTCGCGTGCCTTCGCGATGTCTTGATTCAGATATTCTGCTGTGCCACCACACCGCAAGAAGCCAATCATCGCCACTGATCCAAGCAACTATGGAACCGGAGCCGTAATTTCTCGCCGCTACCTAGATGGATCGGAGAAGGTCGTCTGCCACGCAAGCCGTGCCTTGATTGCCACAGAGAAGATTTATTCGCAGATTGAGAAAGAGGGAATGGCTCTAGTTTTTGCCGTCAAGAAAGTCCGTACATTTTTGGGCGAAAGTTTAAGCTTGCGGCCACTACTCTATTCGAGAGTAAAGGAGTACCGGCTTACATTGCCAGCCGTTTACAACGATGGTTGATGACACTACTTGCCTATAATTTCGACAGCAGTTTCTGCTCTATGCCATTGTTTGTACAGGCCGATGCTCTCTCCCAACTTCTTTCCTGCCGGAGGGCACCAGACGAAGACGTCATCAATGTTACATTAGAGCTGATGTCACCGTTACTTACGAGGAAGCACTCAAGTTGCCACTTAGAAGAGTAGGTTCGCCATAAAGAAGGCATTTTTTTGATGGAACTGGTCAATCGTCTTCAAAGAGGACAGTGGCCAAATGCCCTTTCCGAAAAACCGTTGTTCAACTAGGAACTCACAAAAAAATTTTCACCTTTAATAAACACATTTACCTTAGATCCAAGATTGTCATACCCGCTCCGCTGAAGAAGACGATTCTGCGCATGCTGTACGATGGACACCCTGGACAAACTCTGGAAAAAGACGTAAAACTAAGGAACGCTGTCAGAATTGTCAACTTGCTGTAAACATGCCCGTGAAAGCTGAACTAACACTACCAATCGCAAAAACGTTGGAGCGCCTGCACACAGCGCCTTCGCTGGGCTCTATGGACACATGTACCTGTTGTAAAGTCCAAGGATTTGTTAAAAGCTCCAAGCCAACCAGCTGTGTCCGGCGTCCCGACGTCACACGCACGCTGTTGGAAGAATTCATCCTTCTGGATCTCAAAGTTCCCAGATCAACTTCCGCCATGCTCGATGATGCTTCGAACTGATAGCGGGATAACGGAATAGCGAGTTATTCAGTTGTTATCAACATGTGATCTTGTTGATGCTGTATTAACCTATGCGCAGGAAATAAGCGCTATATAAGGCGCTTTTTCTTAGATAATCCATTCGTCTTGTAGGTTGTCAGTTCTTATTCGTATCCAACTACTAAGCTACTATTCTTACAAGTGTGCGGACTACGCGGTACAAGTACGAGTACAATTAAAAGCGAGTGATCCAACAAATAATATGCAAAAGATCACAAATAAATTCTTAAGTAGGTTTCTTGTACATAAAGTTGGTAAATTTAGTGCAACGAAGGCGGTTAAGCACAAGAATGATTGAAAATTCGATGCCCTTGGATGGCACTGTTTTGTTAAGTCTAGAGTCAAGTGAGTATTTGCCCATCTAAATTCTTTCAACTGATGCTCGTGGTTTAGTGGAAAGATGATGTGAAGCTGTTGGTTATCTCTAGTAATGAACGCTTTGTGATGATGGTTTCAACCAAAATACTATCACTCGAGGTTTCTAGTATATCGTTTCATTTCAACCCGCATGAACGTTCGCATATAATTTTTGAAAAGACGGATGCTTTGTCATTATGCTGCAAAAAGCCTCAATATTAGCTGCATCGAGGGAATAAGACTTACGGCCAAAGTTGAAGTTTTTTTACTCGCTCGACTTTGATAGTATCTTCAAAGTAATCTCTTGCTTGCGATATTAGTCGCTTCAAAGTAGTTTGTCGTAATTTTGTAAGCCTGAACTTAAGAACGATGAGTCCATTGTATAAACGCACAAGTTCCACATAATTAAAATTGATGACATGAAGAAGGTGGGAAATTTAGAATGAAGCTGCAGTTTCATAGATTCAGTTTCCTCTCTCCTCCTTGAGTGATTTTAGAAAATTAAATAACGACTCTAAGTGCTTTTAACCACTAAAGAAATTAACCTTGGCCCATCTGCACATTTCCAGACGAGAATCATTCAGCAGTTCGAGCTGACTCCATTTCACTTTTCACACTGGCAAGAGATACCATAAAATGTATATTTTTGAGCTAGGTGCCGTATATCACAGGATGGCAAAAAATTGATAGGATTGTTTGGTCAAGAGGTAATCTTTGATTTGAGTGAATCAATGGTGGCATTCGTCCCGTGAAATTCAAGGCGGAAGTCCCCTGATGTGCTGGCAGAAAACGGCATGTACATATTGCTATCTCTAGGCTATACATTGGGCGGAGCCAGGGTCCGGCACAGATCGTCTAGAAGCAGACTGGACTTCGTTTTTGGAGCGAAAAGCAAAGGGAGTTTCGTTTTTGACGAGTGGGGCCAAGCACAAAGAATAAGCGCCATTCAGTCGAACACAGCTTTTCGAACAGGTTATTACACGGTTGACATGCTCTATCGTGTATGGCGAAAAGTGCGCGCGATTTGAAAGCAAGGCTAAAATAAACAAATTGCTTGTTTACAGCGCACACAGAAGCATATGACACCAAAATTGAACTGTTTACCTAGAAAATTACTTGCAGAAGAATTATGTAAAAAGATTTGAAAACTTGTGTGAGGTAACACCTTTTCCAGAATTAGATAGTCTCCAGACGACCACCAGACGATCTGAGATCGTCTGGCGCATATACAGGGTGTCCCAAAAGTATGTATCGAACGTTTGATCGTTAATAACTCTCTTCCCAAGAAGTCTTTTGCCTTGCTTCAGGTACCGTTTTGTAGAGCTGGCTTCAGCTTAGATTTGCAGTATAGAACGAATCACTCATTTCTCTTCATTACTGTAGGATTACGGTAGAAACTTCAAGGAGGGTTTTAAGCAATGAAAGGCCATATTTTGCCCCAGAAAGGAAACAAAACAGCCTTAAAACTTTCACACTAGGCTAATTAGAGTTGCTGATTATAACTGTAAAGTTCCCAACTTATTATGATGCTTCATTGAAGAGTTATGCCAGGTAAGAAGTAGCGGCCATTTTTTCAATGTTCCTAAAAAGTGGGATGGCACCGTTTAGAAAGCTTCGTAATCTTGTGAATAGTTAATTATTGAACTCAGCGTCCATAAAAACCCTATTACACAAGTTTTCACGATTTTTTGAAAAATTTTGAAACGGCAGCTTTTTTCACATTAACACCATATGTTTCAAGTTTCTACCGTAATCCTACAGTAATGAAGAGAGATGAATGATTCGTTCTATAGTGCAAATCTAAGTTGAAGCCAGCTCTACAAAACGGTACCTAAAGCAAGGCAAAAGACTTCTTGGGAAGAGAGTTATTAACGATCAAACGTTCGATACATACTTTTGGGACACCCTGTATTTTCGTCACTTCACATAAGTTTTGGATCTTTTTAGCATAGACGGATGCCCCGGCCAAGAATCTATCCTTGAGCATAGAAACATTTTCATATCACCCCCTGTCTGTCGTTTTTTGTCCTCTTTTTTTTCGAAAATCGCCTTATTAGATATCGCGCCCCAGGTAAACCTTTCTGCATCCTCTCCTTTTGAAATCTCATTTTCAGTTCTAGTTTAGATTCGATATTTTGATGATTTCTTCTATTTTCTTTCTTCTTTTTCTTCTTTCGTCAGCTCGTGATCTATTTTGATCATTCTGTGACCATGTAGGACTTCATGAAGCAAAATTTTGTGGATTTTGTGGTTTTTCTTTGAGAGTTTGAGCGGAAATCGCGAGATTCGCAGCTCGCAGCAGGTCAATGGTTTTGTCAAGAATTAAGTGCAAGGATCCATCAACAATCGCAGGGTTAGGGGGAAATAGAGCAAGGGTCAAAGGGGACTTCGTAAAGTTTTCAAAAGTCAGAGGGGACTTCGCTTTTAAAAAGCTTAGAAACGGACTAGTGCCGGGCCCTGGGCGGAGCATTGCAAGCATCTGAACACTCCAGTAAACTTGTTGAAACTCTATTGACAACATGCGCGCATGGCAGCTGATAGCGTATTCGTGCAGGGACCGCCTGTATGCGAAAGCCCACGAGTGTCGCAGCTTATTTTGAAATCATTGCTTCAATTCTGCTTCGCAGAGGTTTGCACTGGGTTTATTATTTAGTAGCCGTATCACGGCTTCGCCCGGCCTTGTCAATGATATTTTCGTAATTAGCATGCTCTCTTTCTCCCTGTGCCAATTCCCAGCCTCGAACGCGAAAGTTTGTGAGAAAGTCGATAAAATCGATATTGAGTATGACTGAAAATAGCCGACATAGCCCGGTCCCGAAATGTATGCGTGCCAAGCTTGGTCCGGATCGGTCAGAAATAAAAATTTCTATTCGAAACGTACATACAGACAGACATACACCCATGCAGGTATATAATAGACAAACACGTTCAGCTTTATTCATGCAGATATACTTTTCTTGTGTAATAATGTAATCATAACTTATAATAACGGGCTAAGGGTGTTTACGTTTTTTTGTGTGTGTGTCTGTCTGTCCGTTACGAAATTCGAGGAGCGTATTCCAGCCAACGTCCGGAGCCCAAATTTTGCACGGAGCATGCTAGCAGCATGGAAGTCCGCTATGCAAAAGCACGAGCGGATTTGTTGAGTGGATCCCTCAAAAATTGCGCTTCAAACGGATCCACTTGGCTTCTGGCCAGCAAAATTGTACATGTACCACCACTTTTTGCGAAGTTATGGATATGATTAACAAGCTAATATGCAAGCCGTGGACTTTAGCCCAAAAAAATGAACTGAAGTCGATTGCTTTACGAAAATGGGGTCGAAAAAAATTAGTTGCGTAAATGTTCAATTAGCCAAGATTTTACCTTATCATTTGAGAAGATTTTTGCACAGAGATGTAGCCCACGGTGATCATCGTTGTTACGGCGACTACCAAAGCATAAAAATTCCAAAAAACGATTCGAATTTGCACTTATTCCTGCCGGAAAAGTTTCATCCACCCGAAAATACCGATCTCGCACAAAAGAGCTCTCGGAATGAGTAGTTGTTTACAAATCATTTGTGATAGCCTGCATAACGCGGTGAGTTTCAATGTCATTATTATGCGGGAATGAGTAAGGCATACAGAAAATAGGGCCAGTGCGAGCCTCTGCGAAGCAGAGGTGACGCACTGGTAGTATAATAATGGCTTTGAAACTCACTATGCGATGATGGTCGTCACGAAGGAATCGTAAACAATTACTCATTTAATAATCATTTAATTTAAGATTGGTAGCTTTGATGAAAGAAAACTTTTTTTTGCAGAAGCAGATGCGAATTTGAATTGGCTACTGAACTCATTATGGCTTGATATATTTACGAAAAATTTCAAATTTATGAGTATCTTGACAAGTTCTTTACGCCATTATTCTTTTACCAGTGCGTCACCTCTGCTTCGCAGAGGCTCGCACTGGCTCTATCTACTATCCACATGCCTTCCTCGTAGTCGCAAAATGATGGCTTTGAAACTTACCTCGCGATGCCGATTATCACGAATGAAATGTAAACAACTACTTATTCCAAAAGTTTTCATGTAAGATCGGTGATTTTGAGAAAATGAAAGTACTCTCCAAAAGATTAAATGCGATTCTGGGTTAGTTACTGGGTTATAATGGCTTGATAGTCGCCATGAAGATAACGGCGACCGTGAGTTACATCTCTGAGCAAAAATTTTCTCACATTCATAGGTAAAGCCTTGACAAATCGATCACCTACGCAAGTATTCCTTTTTGGCGCCGATTTTGCACGAAAGCAAACTTTTTGCTCACTTTTCGGGCTGGAGTACATGGTTTGCAGATTTACTTGCTAAACGAAACCATGGCTTTGGAAGAAGTGCATTTACAGGCCCACTTTGGCGCGCGAAATGTTGCGTGGACGTTTGGCGCACGATTTCACAGGTTCCAGTAATCGGATCGGCTTGTGCTTTTGCATATTTTGCCTACATGCTGACAGGGTGCTACTACCAAAATTCTAGCTCAAGACCTTTGCTGGAACTCGCTCTACGAATTTCGTGACACACACACACACACACACACACACACACACACACACACACACACACACACACACACACACACACACACACACACACACACACACACACACACACACACACACACACACACATACACACACACACACATACACACACACACATACACACACACACATACACATACACACACATACACACATACACACACACATACACACACACATACACACACATACACACACACACACACACACACACACACATACACACATACACACACACACACACACACACACACACACACACACACACACACACATACACACACACACATACACACACACACATACACACACACACACATACACACACACACATACACATACACACACATACACACATACACACACACATACACACACACACATACACACACATACACACACACACACACACACACACACACACATACACACATACACACACACACACACACACACACACACGAACGTAAACAACCCTTAGCCCGTTATTGCAAGTTATGATGGCCGATTGTAGAAGTAGACTTTTGAATACTTTTTGGGCTAAAATCTATAGTTTGCAGATCTACTTGTCAGTTATAGTCATCACTTCGCAAAAAGTCGTAAAATAGATCCACTTTTGTGAACCAGAGGCTGAGAATCCGCATGGAGCCCAATTTTCGAACTTATGCTGTATAGTCGCCCTCACCCCACTAGTCGGTCGGTGGACAAATTCAAATTTGAATTGGAGCAGGCTTGTCACGGCAGAGCGCGGCAGGAGACAACGCTCAGCAATTACAAAAACTCAATATAGATCAAAAACGTTGTAACAATACAAAAAGTGCTAAGCAATGGCGAGGAAATGCGCAAAGTGAATGCGTGAATTTGAACGGAGAGCTAAGGTGCCGTGCTCTGCCGCGACCTGCCTGCTCCAGTTCGAATTCGAATTCGTCCACCGACCGACCAGTGGGGTGAGGACGACTATAGCACGTGCTATGCAAAATTGGGCTCAATATCTTGGATGGAATTGTCACTACGAGTTTCGTGACAGACAGATTTTCAGACACACACACGCATAAAGAAAACAAATTTGGCGTTTTATTATAGTAGGATTAGTCTTGTAATGCAAAATCTGTATCCAACAAATTCCCTTGAAATCTGAGCAAATGTCGCTGAAGGAAACAAAACTTTTGTTTTTTGCCACAACTTTGAACAGTCGGCAGTATTAATTAGTCGCTCTATTACTCGTTACCACTTGATCCGTACCTTATCAAATTTCATCTCTTGCCAACTGCGCAAAGACTTTTGACTTGCCTCTTTTAAAGGCCGTTTCTCACCAAAATTCAGTTGCCGAGATTTTTGCATTTTGCAAGCCTGTAGGACCACTGTATGGGCTTAAAATCGCACGTAGTTTTCCCAAAAACCCCGTTTTCTGGAGGCCCCACGGAAGCAACGTGGACGAGTTATGCCTTCCAACTTCAGCCTCAGCCACAGTGGCAGCAACAGAGGGGAGGTGGATAGCAAATGGAGGGACATGTTCAAACGCGTAAGGGGGGAGACTGAAGGAGTCGTACCAAATTGCTCTCCGCGTACCACTTTGAGCGAATTCTTCTCAGCGTGGAGGGGGTCAAATTGAGTGGGACTTGTTGCAATGGCCTATCTAGAGGCTCCTATAATAGAATATGTGAAGATCGGCGCGACTTCAACTTTGATGAGACACTGCAGCAGTAATTCTAGAAATTGCTGCGAGTGCTGCGCAAGCAAGCCGGACCAAACCGTGCGCAGCTGTCCCTTTTAGCAACTGTCCGGCTTTTTTTCGTGATTTCTCGTTTAGACTGAACACGGGACGTGCAATCGGAGAGACATGAGCTAAAAATTGCTTGTAGCGAGCATTGTTTTGAGTCAGAATCTGCAAGAACTTATTCGAATTTGCTGCTATTGCTCATTACGAAAAGGACCAAGCCTCAGTCGTTTCAAGGTCTAATCTCAATTCATTTTGTTGGTACTGAGCAGATTGCATAAAAAGCCAAAGGGGCTTACTCGTTCACAGATTCATCGTAAACCAACTCGATCCGTATCCAGTCCCAAATCGAACTCCTTTTTGATCTAAGGTCTTCAACCAAACCATAAGATGCGTTCCCAAAATCTAGTGACTAAACATGTTTTCGTTGCTCAGAACCTGGTGCGAAGCTACGCTCAACATACCAAATGGCTACAAGCAGATATGAGCGGAATCACCAGCGTCAAGCATTCCAACCAGGTACGCATTTGGATTGACCGCATAAATGGAGGAATGAAAAGAACTAACTTTATTCAGTTTATGATTACAGGGGGATGATTTTCTTGATATGCACTGATTATCAAACTCAATGTAGTAATTCTCAATAAACGGAGTGTAGCAGATTGCACATTTGTAGCCGTGTCTTGACATGCCCAGTTACTGCGATCACAAGGAGTTGCACCATTCAGTCATGTGTCGTTCATCCAGTCACTGCAATCTTTACTAGCTCAAATCAGATTTTCATCGATAAATCAAATTACATTTTGTGAGTGCTGCTAAATTGCAAGAACCAAATTTCGTAACTTTTAGGATAGAAATTGTAGGTGAATAGCCTGGTACTAACACCTAGTAATCGTAACGCGAAGAATGTTACTTAACACGTTTTGGACCGCGAACTCGCGCGCGGCGAAAAAGAGTGTACTTTCGGTCGTTAGCCTACAAAGGGACCTTATTTCGCAGCCTGTGGGCCACATAATCAGCATGTCAGATAAGCTCCATATCCAAAGTTCTGAGTGAATTCGAAGTGTTTGAATTTTGTCGCTTGAGAGGGACTTTTGTGTTTTCTTGAAAGATAGGAACAAGAACCCAGATTCTAATAGTATTCAAAAGTATCTATGTTGTACACGGCAGACATCAGTATTGAAACTACGGTTTTTCTCTTTGATATCGAAGCAAAGGAAAGTTGCGACGTCGCACGCGTCGTTCGCGTCGCCGCACTTCGTTGCAACTGTTGTTCGATTTGTGCTCATATCTCCTAAACAAATATCGGCGGCACAACTCTACAGAGTCATTTGAAAAGTAGGAAGTTAGACCTTTAACTTAACAACTTTAAACTAAAAGGAAACCTCCTGCAAACGCCAGAAAGATCCTCAAAGCAGCGTGCTGCACCATGTGCAGCACCGGTCCGAAACGTGTTAATTTAACAAAAGTTTTCATTGCTAAGTCCTGCACGCTTCTTTCTTTCTAATTTATGTATGAAAGAATACAATCTGAAAAAAGCATACACACGGACAGCCTATACGTATGTGGTAGTGCAGTGGTTTATATGAACTTTTTTGTGCATCTATTAACACCAGATGGGATAATGACAATTTATTGACCGGAACAGATAGCGCCGGCTTCTTCGGCACACAATAGTTGATGAGTGAGGAGATATTACATGTTTTTTGAACTTTATGTGCACATTGGCCACCAGGGGCTGACCAGTGTGCACAGAGAGCTCAGAAAGCTCAAAGAACATTGTGCAAAAATGTTTATAACAAACGGCAAGTTGGACAAAGGGAAAATTTTGGGGTACGAATCGTATCTTTATCACCAAAGCTGCACTTTTATGAGAGCTGTTTCAAAAGCACGGAAAAACCAATTATGAATCTGTTTTCGATATTAAGGCTGCTGGAAGAGGAGCTATGAGAGTTTACTGGAGCAAAAATTGATGCGCATTCAGAAGGAACCAGTCGTAGCATTTTTTCTAGCGCTTAGATTTAGTATTGATGTTCGGCATCGTTTTGTGCAATCAAGATCCTTGATTGAAATTTACTTACCCTTTCAGTCACATTTGCGCGCTGAAGAGATCTTCACGAGATTCATACTAATCGTGCCTTGATTGCTAAACGCTCACAACTCCTCTCCCAACTGCGTTTCGCGATAAAAACGGACATCAAATCAAAATATCACCTGTGGGCCTCAGGAATAGTTCGTGCGATTTCACGCGACGCCTATTTCACTTGTTCATGGGTTTCCGAATTTTTTGAAAAAATTTACGGAAATTCCTTGGACTGACGGCATCATCTTGGCTATTCCATTAAGCTATTGCATTTGACGCGGTTAGATCAATATAGGCCTAACAAGACAACAGCAACTTCTGTGACTTTGAAAGCGATCCGTACATACAAGTTTTATAGATAGTGCGCTCCGCGCTTTGTGTAAGCTACGGCTTGCTGCATTGATACGGCAAGTGCAAATTCCATTGAATACATGCTTGTGCTCCTCTCGAAGTCCAAAGAGAGCAATACTGCCGCTAGTGCAGTATTCATCGACTTTGAAGAGTACTTAATACTCACCACATCTATTGCCAGCTATAAATATCCGCCCATCGCAGTGACGTCCACAGACCGAGACAAGTTATGACTCTACGAAGCATGCCGTGAATCAATGGCTCTAAATTACATCCTTCCTTTTCTTGTTCGTGTTCGAATATATAAGCTGTATCAACTAGCATCGTACCGCGCTGGTATGCTTTCCGAGAACGCACCGTCGCATACAACGCGCTTGCGTAGCAGAGTTTGCACGCGTCACACCGCACCGTCACACCGCGCAGGCATGACGTCGTGAGACCTATTCTGGTTGATGCAGCCTTTAATTCCAGCCCCCAAACACTCTCTGGCTTGCACTCATCTTTGTATTCTCGAATTTAAGAGGGTCTGAGGTTGCTGGCTTATATTCGAAGTGATTCCTGTCGTAGTTTACTGAGATAATGTTGGATTGGGTAGGAAATAATTTTATTTTCAACAAGCAAATACCACAAAAACTTTTCGTATTGTTTTTTTTTGTTCATGATTTTCGGTGGAGGATGGGCGGGCATGGATGGGGAGGGCGGTCCGCTTGAGGGTCCTGTACATCTTCGTTATTCCGGAGCGATTTTCTCGCTTCCGAAGCGACATTTTGCGTTGCGACTTGAGCACTGGCTTGATAGGGGCCCAAATATCATATGCTGCCATAGAGGCAGTGTCCCGGCAGATTTTGCACTCCCATCTTCTTGCATGTTATGGGCCTTTTCGACGCGTAGACCCCAAATTTGAAACGGGTAAAAAGACCCTTTTCGGGGCGTTTACCCAGTTTCCAAAAGGCAGCTCGGACGAAATCTTCAATGGAAAGTTGGGAGACCCTGGCACGAAGACCCTGTTGCCTGTAATATTTGCTTTAGATAGCATGCACAGTAAAAGGGTCTGGGTCACAGTAAGGGTTGTGCACAGCGGAAGAGCAGTCGTGGGCTCCCGCGCTGAACGCTAAGCGAAGTCGTCCGAGCGCGCGCCGGTTCAAGGGCTATTTTCTCAACCCAGGCGAGAACATCAACCAGCCGGACTGCGCCTGGAGGTCAGTGGGGTGACCAGGAACCCCACCATATCAATATCTACCAGGGCGCGAATCTGCCGGGACACTGCCTATAAAGTCAAGACCCCCCCCCCCTCAACTTAGGATGGACGGTGCCTTTAAAGGTTCTACTGCACATATCCGCTACGCAGATTTTTTCATCATCAGTGAAGGACAGTTAAAGTCTATCCCAATCGAGACCAGGCCGAACCTCTGGCTGAATTTGCGCGCTCGAGCGCTGGGTGTTTGCGCTGCATGCGCGCGGTGTCGCAGAGAGCGAAGAGAATGAGGAGAAAGCAGACAAGCTAGCCGCAGATGTGGCGCGGAACTCTCGCGACGCGGACTCCCGCCATTCCAATTTTGGCCTGGTCAGGATTGGGGCAGACTATATGCCGCAATATAGCTAATAAAAACTCACAAGGGAATGGTCAGAAGTCGAAGTGGCCAAACCAAACAAGCTGTATACCATTCGATGCAGTATAAAACGATGACTTCGAATCCGTCTTTCTTATCTGCTTCCCGCTTCTGTAAACGAAGCTACAAGCCATTAAAGACCATTATTTTGCTAAGAAATTACGGGTGAAATTGAAAAAATTTAACCGTGCAAAGCCACGTTCGCCTTAATGCTGGGCCAAAACATGCAGCTAGCCTACTTCAAATTTTTGAAGAAAGAAGCTGAGCTAAAAATGCAACAGTATGCTCAATTTCGCTGTTTTTATGTGTGATTTTTTCACAATAAAACCGCTTGTAGTTTCGTCCACAGAAGCGGGAAGCAGACATGGAAGACAGATTCGAAGTCAGCGTTTTATACTGCATCGAATGGTATACAGCTTGTTTGGTTGGGCCACTTCGACTTCTGACCATTCCCTAGTCAGCTCACTTTCTGAGCACTGTTTTCATGCTATACTGGATGAATCAGTAATTTGATATTTACAAACATACAGATTTTCTCAATCAGCGAATGACAGTCATGAATGTAAGTGCACTTTGAATTTCTTCGACAAAAGAAGCAAAATTTTCTACATGTGCTCCCAGAAAAAGTACCTCACTTCTTTGCAGCCTTATTTCATTGAGAAAGATATTCTACTTGACCAAAATTTACGTTTCATTTCTATTCTTTCCAGAAATCTCAAACGGCGAACAAAAGTCTCTCTGCGGCATGTAGGGACCGCAAATGTGACTAAAATATTTATTAGCTGACCCAACAGATGAACTAGCCGCAGTCTATAAGATCGAAATCTCCATTCGCTGAAAAATCACATTGCCAGGTTACTCGGCTTTTGATCACGTACTGACATTGCCGTTAAGTATAGGCGATTCATAGCACGCAAAGACTGCGGACCTATCGACGTCTCTCTGATCAAGCCTCTCTCGTTCTTCTTACCATCTGCTGTTTCCTCTATGCAGGAACTATCTTGGCCGGACGCAACGGCACCCAGTCTTGTTATAAATCGTATGTACTACATTCAACGATCTTCCTTGCCGCAAGCTTTTATTCACTTCACAATAAACCACCGACTCAACTTCGTAGACTCAAGGATGGTGATCATACACAGAATATCAAAAGCTACTAGAAAATATTGAGCATGTGGTTTGAAAGATGTCAGTATCAATAACGACTACCTGAAGACGCTCCTGGGAAAAGGAGGGTTCGACAGATGATCCCTTTAAAAATGTCTGGAGGCAGGCAGCCGACTTAGTCAGTCGTTTGCTAGCTGGCTTACGCCGCTATCTCAACGGTCTTAGAGCTACCGACTGTAGCTCCTCCGAAAGTGCAAAAATAGTAAACACCTTGCGCTTCTTGGGTCGATTCAGATCTCGCAATCAAAGGAAAGGCCTCATCCGAAGCTTTGAAATAAAACTTCATGTCCTAAAGCTCCAGATATCAGGATTTCACACTGTCTACCCATCAGTAGGTACTCCCACCATCCTTC